GGCACTCTACCCAGGGGGACAGCTGGAGGCTCTGTCTCAACAAAAAAAAAAAAAAAAAAAAAGAATAAACTAGTTCTGGTCGGCAGCCGGAGCTCAGTGAGTAGGGCACTGGCCACAAACACCGGGGTTGGTGGGTTCAAATCCGGCCCAGGCCAACTAAGACAACAATGACAATTGCAACAACAACAACAACAAAATAGCTGGGTGTTATGGCGGGTGCCTATAGTCCCAGCTACCCAGCTACTTGGGAGACTAAGGCAAGAGAATCACTTAAGCCCAAGAGTTTCAGGTTGCTGTGAGCTGTGACACCACAGCACTTCACCCAGGGTGACAGTTTGAGACTCTGTCTCAGGAAAAAAAAAAAGAAGAAGAAACTAGTTCTGTTGCTTATAAGTTTAGAACCTGCTGGGGAAGAATTTTCTTTTGATACTTAAAAATGTTCTGTCTAATAAGTGAAAATGACCAGAGACCAAAAAGAAAAATCCCAGATTACATGATACTAAATTGTCTATAGCTCCCCATTTTTGACCCACCACACAGCAATCAGATGGTTCAACTCAATATATTGTGAACCCTCTGTGTATTTTGCTTGTTGTCTAGAAAATAGCCACATGACCAATGGGAAAAAGAAAAAGTTCACCAAGAATGAGAAATTCAAGGAGTGTAAGCAGGCAATTCCCCAAATCCCAGTGATTTAAATAAGCTGCAGTAAGTGTGGCCAGCTCAGGGAGGGGCCAAGAACAGGCTGAGCCCTCCATACACATCCTGCAATATCGCCCCCGCCCTAGCAGGCAAGTGTCACTGATCCTGTGCTGCTGAGGAGTCAAGCAGGAAATGAGAGGCTGGGACTGAAAAAATCCAAGCCTGATCCACCTTGCTGGGCTGTCCTCCTCTTGAGTCTCCATCTTCTCGTGTAGCCCACAAAACTACTTCTATTCCATTGGTCCTGCAAAGCATATTTTTCCATGTTTTGACACTGCTGGAAAGTGGATGCATATTACAGGTGGTGGCACGTCTTGATTCATTTGGCACTGCTTTTCCTTGGTTTTATATAAAATAACCATATCTCCCAGATGATGGCATCTTAGAGCCAGTATAACATGGCAAGAGTGCTTGACATACAGTTGTCATAAGGCAGAGGAAGCCCATGAAGCATTGCCTATGCAATGAAGTACTCCACAGCAAAGAGGAAGAACAAGGCAGGTCCACACACTCACATGGAACAATCCTAGGTACGTTAAAAGTGGAAAAAGGGAGGTACAGAACACTGTAGGGTTCTGTGGAATTTCTGCACACACATGCTCTCATAAGCAGGAGCATCTCTGGAAGGGCAATCCTGACTCTGGAGCCCTGACTGCCACCAGGGCAGGGCACTCCAAGTTGAGGGAAAAACAAGAGTCTGCTAGTAACAGCTACTCACAGAGCATTCACTGTTATGAACCATCCCCTTCTCCGGCACTACAAAGGAAGAAACTGAGGCACAGATTAAGAAACCAAATTCAGGCCACGTGTGGTGGCTCATGCCTGTTAATCCTTGCTCTCTGGGAGGCCGAGGTGGATGGATAGCTTGAACTCACAAGTTCAAGACCAGCCTGAGCAAAAAGCCAGCCCCCATCTCTACTAAAAATACAAGAAACTGAGGCAAGAGGATTGCTTGAACCTGAGTTGGAGGTTGCTGTGAGCTATGACGCCACAGCACTCTACCCAGGGCAACAGCTTGAGACTCTGTCTCAAAAAAAAAAAAAAAAAAAAAACACCAGGCATTGTGGCAGGTGCCTATAGTCCCAGCTACTCCAGAGGCTGAGGCAAGAGAATCACCTAAGCTCAGGAGCTGGAGGTTGCTGTGGCTCGAGCCTGTAATCCTAGCACTCTGGGAGGCCAAGGCGGGTACATAGCTTAAGCTCACGAATTTGAGACCAGCCTGAGCAAAAGCGAGACCCCAAATTCAAGAAAAGAACAGCAGTTGCTCCAAGCCAGGAGCTGAAATCATAAAAGGCCTGTGACCTTCCCTAGGGCCAATGGGTAGGATAGTTCTTGCTTAGCTCTGCGGCTTGGGAGAACCAAGGAGCCTGTACTGCTCTGCCTGGGTGTGCACCAGAGGAGGCTCTGCCTTTTCAAACTGGCCCTAATCACAAGAGATCGTGCTTTGTAAGGCAGATGCACGGAAACCAAGGGCTGGCACACTGCCATCCCCACCAGGTTCTGGTGTCTGCCCCACAAGGACTTTGAAGGTGGTGTGCCCCAGTCCTCATTGTGGGTACTCAGGAGGTTTTCAGGTCATGAATGAGAGAAGCAGCCCAAGTCCGAGTGGCCTCAGAGCTGGTGCACACCCAGGCAGAGTGACACTGGCTTCTCTGTGCGATCTAGGATCTCAAGCCAGCATTTCTCAACTTGCTTTAACCCATGCCCCCTTTGGAACAAGTTACAGCCTAAATCCCAATCCCTACATTAATATTCCTATTTTCTAGAAGAAGAAGAAGTAGGAGAGAGGAGAGGAGGGAGTGAGGAAGAGGAGAGGGAAGGAGGAGAAAGAGGAGGAAAGTAGAAACATATCCCATGACATGCTTTATCAGACATAGTTGCCCTCTTAGAAATTTTAAAATGTTGAATCTGGCAGAGTACAGTGCCTCTCACCTATAAACTAACACTCTGGGAGGCCAAGGCAGGTGTATCACCTGAGCTCAGGAGCTGGAGACCCGCTTGACCAAGAGTGAAAATAGAAAGGGGCTCGGCATCTGTGGCTCAAGTGGCTAAGGTGCCAGCCACATATACCCAAGGTGGCAGGTTCGAATCCAGCCCGGGCCC